TAGAAGAACTCACACTTTGAACCCTTGGTCTGTAGTCTGTGTTTGTCTAAAACTGTAAATACTGCTTCTAAATCGGCAAAGTGCTGCTCTGTAGACGAGAATGTCGTCGAGGTAAATTATCACACATTTATCTACGAGTGGTCTAAACGCCTCGTTCATGGTCATCTGAAAAGTCGCCGGTGCGTTGGTCGGCCCGAAAGGCATCACTGTGTACTCGAATGACCCGTACCTAGTCCTAAATGTTGTCTTGGCGCAGTCCGATGGTTCGACCCGAATCTGATAGTAACCTCCCCGTAAGTCGATTTTCGAAAAGACCTGTGCTATTCGCAGTTGATCTATCAGTTCGTCGGCGCGGGGGATTATGGTATCGCGATTTGACTGTAACCCTGTTCAGTGCTCTGTAATCGATGCACATGCGAAAGCCTCCGTCCTTTTTCGGTGTGAACAGGATCGATGCGGCGAATGGCGACGAGCTCGGTCTGATGAATTTTTTTCTCTAACAGGTAATCTAACTGCTTCCTCAGTTCGTCGAGCTCGGGCTGTGTCAGTCTGGACTGTCGCTGTACGGTTGGCTGTGCCCCGGGTTCTAATTCTATTTGGTGATCGTGCGCCCGCTGAGGTGGCAGTCCCTCCGGTAAGTCGTCGGTAAAAATCCCCGGGAACTGTTTCAACAGTTCCTGTAGTTCGGGTGGTACTGCCGCCAGTAGTTGTAGTTCAACAATTTCATTGTGATGGCGTTGACGTGGACCGTTGAAGACTCAAGCGATTGCCAGCGAGGTAGCTCAACCCAGTTACCGCCCACTTCGCACAGTGCAGCTACCCATCGTCGAGTTGATTCGCGGGTTGTATCGTTGCAGCCAATCACGTCCTATTAAAATTTCGTGCCCATCCAATGTCGTCGCGAGCATTTCCTGTGTAAACCCTTAGTTCCCCCCACAGCGGACTTTTACTCTCTCCACTTTTTCCCGTATGGTCAGTGGCGTTCCGTCAACTAGGCGTGCATCTATCTCCGGTAAACACCGACTAAGTGCCAGTTGCAGCTTCCTTGCCGTCGCGCTGTTAACTAAGCTGTGACTTGCGCCTCCGTCTATAAAAATCTTCACTGCTGCTCCCTGCATTTTTCCGTGGAACAGTACTGGGCAGTCCGTCACTGTACCCTCCTTATTCGTCCGAGCCCGATCGATAGCGTGAATCGGTACTGTGACTCGGTGAGGGTCATTGAGGTTGGGCGAGCAGTGTTAGAATAGTAGGAGGAGCCATAGCTAGGGTGAAAGTTAGGCAAGTGTCGAGGGAAAAGTTGAGAAGGAAAAATGAGGGTTTCACTAAGAGAAGAAAGTACAAGATATAGGAGTGAGAGATGGCAAAGGGTGCACCACCTACAGGGACTATAACAGTAACTACACTACAGCTATAACTATATGCAGTTATACAGAAATATATATAAAATATATTCTGACAAGCATGCAGTCTCGTCAGTAGTTGGCCTAACTTCTACTGACTGCTGGCGTTTCCCGGCCTCTGAGACTCTCGCTCCTGCTCTGTTCCGCGGCGCCTCAGCTCCTCTGGGCATTCACTCTTGCGATAGCCCGGCCTATTGCAAGCAAAGCAGCGCCCCTTAAACGGTGCAGCAGCTGCATTCGTCGCAACGGCGTGTACGGTGGCGTGCTCGATTGGTCCCCGAGGACGTTGTCTGTAGTAGGACCCCGGTCTCGGTCGTCGTAAGATGTCGATTTTCTCGGCGAGCGCTAGGATCTCGTTGAAATTCGAGAGCCCGCGTAGCATGATTTCGTGCGAGATGTCCGGCTTTAGCCCTCCGACGTAACGGTCCACCCGCTCCGCTTCGTGCATATAGCTGACTTGCTCGCATAATGCGAGAAAACCACTCGTGTAGTCTTGAACCGATCCGAGCTGCCGCCAAGTGCGCAGCTTCTGACGCGCCGAAATCGAAGCCGCAATCGGCTCGAAACGCGTCCGAAGCCCTGCGCACCACGCATCCCACGTGCTGTACTAGGCTGTCTCGCAGAATGAACTTCAGGTGACGGCTGGGCCCGTGGGCCCTTCTTCTTGTTAGAATTTGAAGTGATTGAATAGGATCGTAACACTTAGGATGGTAGCTTCCTGTCGTAGCGGAAGTCTTATATGAGTTAAAGCCAGTTATGAAGGCTTTGTCTGGACTTAATAAAAGCCCATGTAGTGATATGTTTCAGGATCAATGTCTCTGAAATCAGATATATTATAAAATGATAAACATACAAAATATATAACTAGAGTAAAGTACCTGTTCGCCTACTGTACTGTGCTTTTCTTGTTCTGAAACGGTACGTAACTTTTCGCGAGGTCTATAGCTACGTGCTGACGTCATCCTATGGCGCGTAGCGCTTTGCTGACGTCAGCCTATCGGTACTTTACTGTACTACACGAATATCCTTGAAGTGCTTAAGTCTCGATATTATCTCAACACTTCTTAGGCTCGTGACGACGTCACGATGACTCGCCACCAGTCCATGGCGGGGCCCTTTAGCAGCGAAACAGCATAGCGAATCTTCGATGCGTCCGACTCGACGTAGTTCGCGTAGAAAAAAACGTTCATCGTGAAGACCCACGATTGAACCGTCGGACCTCCACGTTGGCTCGGGTCGAAACAGGGCGGACGCTGCGGCTTGAGTGGCATTGGTGCCGTGACGGCGTACTCGCCACTTGTCGCTGCAAATTCCACGTGCCGACGGACTTCGCGGAACTCCCGCGGGCTTGGTGCGGCCCTGTTTCTCTCCATGCCAGGCATTGAGTGAGCGGCGTCCTCACTGGCTACGCATGAGCGCTGTCCCACGCTGTCGTTCTGTGTCGGTGTGCCTGACGAGATGATGATCGGCTCCTCGGATTGTGCAGGTGCATTGGTTGGTGCACCGCATTCACTGTCGATTGCTGGCGAGCGGAGTCACGTTCCGCCGTGAGTGGCGATTTCGAGGGCCGAATCTTCGAGTTGGCGTATGAGACGGTCGAGCTGCGCTTGCGTCTGTGTCGCGAGAGTGATTTCAGCCATGGAGCACTACGAGCGGCGGTGCTTGGTCGCTGAGAGACGTCTACCCCCCCCAAAATTTGAGATAGTGGGGAAGCGAAGGTGTGGGTGCGGTCCGAGAGAAGATCGTAGGCTCTGATAACCAAGTGTTACGAGTGCAATGGAGTGAGCGAGCGAGGATTGCACTATCGAGACAAGATACAATGAGCGAATGATTGAGCGAAGAATATGTAGCGAAGCTACAGTGGTAACGGTAACGTGTGGGAAAATGGGGTGCGCGACGGGCCTGGTGCCGAGGTTGGGGAATGTCGAGGCGGAGGTCCGGAGCGCGGGTTACCAACCGAACCGTGAGGTTGGGTCGCATCATCGTGAATAGTGGCGGGAATGGTGTCGAGGCGAATGTCGCGAGTGGTAACGGATTATTGTGGGGTGCTGTTGGCGGGAACAGTGGTGTACGTGCTGAGCAGGGACGCGAAGTAAGGAAAAGGAATTTTCCTTGAACCAGATAAACAAATAAATTGAGAATTCGCAAGCAAGAGTTTAAAAAACATTCTCAAAACCATCAAGCAATTAACCTATTTGGCTCTACCCCCTTTGCCTACACTGCGAATCTACCCTAGCCCAACTAACTGCCTATCGCATGTCAGTTGTTAAACGCTCAAGCAAATCAAACTACAAGGCACTACATAGCACCTCCTGTAATACTCCTTACGAGTTACAGCTCTAAGAGCAAGATCATCAGGGCTGTGATTGCTGAAGGAACACACCCCTGGGATCTTCCCAGCACATGGGACTTCGTGCTACAAGCATTCTTGCTGCCACCCACCAAAGCACAGTGAGCAGAAGCACACAGAAGAAGACAGCAGCCCACCAAAGCAGACAGTAGCCCACCAAAGTCAGCACAGAACACGCGAGCTTACGGGAGGGCAACCCTTGCAGAAGAACGTTGCAGCTCTCCATACAGTGTTGCAAGGCGTGTCCCGGAGGATTCCAGTGGATTCGACATGTTCCCCCAACAACATTCCAATGGACATTGCAGGGCTCCATACAGTGAGCGCTGGCCCAAACAACGCACATGCTGAGAGACTCAATGACGGGTTCAACAGCTTGCTTATAACGAGGCTTCAGTGCAGGATTCAGTGTTGCTGCGCTCGTTACAAGCACTGGTTGTCCAGGGAGAGGATTCACACCAACTTTTGTTACGATGGTGTGGACTCTGCAGCCGTAACAGTTACGCTGGTGACTGACAGCGGCTCGTGATCAGTCCACAGCAGTGATGAGAACCAACGGCTGAGATCAGCCAACCACTGTGATCAGCCCCACCTGCTTCAGGGGAAACTTGGGAACAACCCCGAATCCACCCCTCGCATTTCAAAGCCACTCCGCATTCTGCTTTGGCAGTTGATTCCTCCAATCCTGAACTCATCGGCTGGTGCTGCTGCAGCTGGCATCCTTGCACCTCCTGCAGCACTGCTGCTGCGACTGCATCTGCCATCATTACACATGCATGTTGCACCTGCTGTCCCATCCTTGGAGTCACAGGAACCCCTCCTGCTGCACTGCATCTGCTACCATTGCATCTCATGCCACACCTCCTGATGCAACTCCTGCTGTACCTGTTTTCCCTCCTTAGAGTCACAAAAGCCCCTCGTGCTGTACCTCCACCTTCGTCTGCCACCATTGCACCTCATGCTGCACCTGCTTCCCTCCTTAGAGTCACATGAGACACCTGCAGCAGCAGTCAAAGCTGACACTTGCATCTGGCATTATCAAGGGCCACCAGTCAGCTCCCCTCAGAACTTGTCCGCCATACACAGCCCCTCTAACGATCCACTGCTGCCCCCTCTCGACCCACCCTCACTGCAGTCACCATGCTCCAAGTGACAACTAGTGAAATCCCCACCACCACCAGCAGCACACCAGTCAGCTCAGTTCAGCACTTGTCCGCCATACAAAGCCCCTCCAGCGACCCACTGCTGCCCCACTAGACCCACTCACTGCAGTCCAACTCACTCGCCACAGGCCTGAACACAGCCGCACCCGCAGAGGGACCAGCAGCAGCACCGCCAGCAGTAGCAGCACCAGTCAGCTCAGCTCAGCACTTGTCCGCCATACAAAGCCCCTCCAGCGACCCACTGCTGCCCCCACTAGACCCACTCTCACTGCAATCCGACTCACTCGCCACACCCTGAACACCGCCGCTCCCACAGAGGGACCAGCAGCAACGGGAGCCGCAACTGCAGCTTCAGCAGCAGGAGCAGCGACTGCAGGAGCAGCAGCAGCAGCAGCGTTGACACTGACGGCAGCAGAAGCAGCAGTGGCATTGAGGGTAGAGCGGTTGTATTTCAGATGCGCCTGCACGAGATGACCAGAGGCGAGGGCGGAGCAGAGCGAGAGTTCCCCCGCCAGCACTGCTGCCGCCACCACCCGCGCCAGCTGCTGCGCGTTCGCTCCTGGCTGTGTCTTGTGCGCCCCCTTCACTCCCAGCAGAGCGAGGGCGGCCGCCTGGAGTAGAGTGGGGGAGCAGAAGGGGCAGGGAGACGAGTTAAGGTCATTTGCTGCTGCCACCACCCGCGCCAGCTACTGCGCATTCGCCCCTGGCTGCGATGCCCACTGCCACTCACCCTCTCCCTCTCCCTCTCCCTCTCCTCACTCTCTCTCCCTCTAGCTCACCTGCGGTGCAAGGAAGGTTCCTCCGCCAACAGTGCCCACTACAATCGCGGGGAGCGGGACAGACGCGTGCAGATAGGTGCCGTTATTGGCGCTCTCAAGCAGTGTGAGGTACTGCGAGCTCTCCATGTTCTGTGCGGGGTCCTGCCCTCAGCTCTCTACCCACCCTATCTCTGCCCTGCGGTGCAAGGAAGCTTCCTTGCTTTCTCACCTGCGGTGCGAGGAACGTTCCTCCCCCAACAGTGCCCACTTCAATCGCGGGCAGGGTCACCGACGCGTGCAGGTCAGCCCCATCATTAGCAGATTCCAGCAGCGTGAGGCACTGCGAGCTCTCCACGTTCTGAGCGGGGTCCTGCCCCGTCGCCAGGAAGACCGCCGTGACGATGTTGCTCGCGTGCGCGTTGCTGCCGCCCACCGCGCCCGCCATGGCCGACCCCACCAGGTTCTTAACGGTGTTGAGCTCGACTAGGGCGGCAACCGTTGTCTTTAGCACCGATTCCACCTGGGAGGTGAGACAGGAGGGCACACAGTAAGGGGGAGGGGACGGATGCGGGAATGGGGAACCAAGGGGGGAGGGGAGGGTGGGGGGAGGTGGAATGGGAGAAAGCGGGGAGGATGGTGGGAAGGGCTGTGGGGAGGGCACGAGGTGAGGAGCGCAGGCGGTGGGGAGGGCAGGAGGAATGCAGGGGGGAGTGAAGGCCGGGGAAGGAGGGGGTGAAGGTACCACGTGGCCGTGAACCTACCACGTGGTCGGGAATAGTTGTCTCGCAGACGACAGATTAGCCGCGCCCGTGTATCCAGTTGACAGCAGTCGCCTTCTTGTCCGCGCAATAGTTCCCCAACATGCATTTTGAGGCGCCTCAGAAATCAACTTATTGTCCGCGCAGTAGTTCCCGACACGGATCGAGCAGAGGGGAAAGAGAGGATCGCAGAACGTATGGAGGCAGGGAGAGGGTGGGGGCAGGCCGGGTAGGAACGTACCACGTAGCCGGGGATGGTGGCTTCGCAGACGACAGATTTCCCGCGCCCGTGGATCCAGTTAACGGCAGTCGCCTTCTTATCCGCGCAGTAGTTTCCCGACATGCTCACCACGCGCATATCCGGGAACGCGTCCCGCAGCGCACCGAGCACGCTCGCGGTGCCCTTGGAAACCATGTTCATGCCCATCGCGTCGCCCGTGCCGCACTCCACGCGGACAAACGCGTTCCGCCCCGCGACAGCCACGCGGATGCTCCGCAGCCGCGCGAACCGGCTGCTGCTGTTGAAGGCTTCCGCGAGTTCCGCCCAGTTGCGCGGACTTTCCGCGTATGCCTTCAGTTCCGCCGCGCGCATGGCGGAGGGGAGCTGCACGGCGGGCGCGCGCGTCATGCCGTCGCGCAGCACGACGCTGCGCGCGCCGCCGGCGGCGCAGATGGCCTTGCAGCCGCGGTTAGTACTAGCGACAAGGCACCCCTCGGTCGTAGCCATCGGTACGAAGAATTCCGTTCCGTCCAAAAGTAACGGTCCTGCCACACCCATGGGGATCGTCACGTGGCCAATCACCATCTCGCAGCACGCGCCTCGGATCACGTCGTAGTCGTAATTATCCAGCGGGAGCCCGACTAAGGACCGGCCGGTTTTAATCTCCACGGCGCGCCGCCGGACTGAGGCGGCGCGGAGGGTGTTGCCGAGTTGCGCCTCGAGGGAGTGCATGGGAATGGCGCCGCGCGCGACTGCGCGCGCAATGTCGTCGTCCGGGAGGTCTTGTAGCGGGACGTCTTGTAACGAGGATAAACTGTCGGACTTGAACACGAAGGTTTTCAAGCTTTCGGTGCTGGTGTTCGGCGTGATTGTACCAGAAGGGACTGCAGCGGATGGAACCGGAACCGCTTTAGAAGCACACTCGGGCGGGAGGTAGGACTTAAAAGAGGGAGCATCGCGGTGGCAGTGAGCGAGCTTCTTAGTCTGCTCCTGCTGCTGCTGCTTCCTTGACAATTCCTCCTCTTCCTCCTCCCGCTCCTCCTCCTCCTCTTCCTCTTCCTCTTCCTCTTCCTCTTCGTCCGATAGAACGCTCAACCCCACCGTCGCTTGCACATACCCGATCCCCAGGAAACCGATCAAGTAGATAAACGAACAGATCGCGAGCGTGACGGCAGCTAAGTCCCGCCATATTAAATTATGGAGCTTTTCCGACGAGTCCAATTTCTCGCGCCAGCGACGGAGGAGGTAGCAGCTAGAAAGAACGAACGTTATAACGAAGATGACATTAGTGAGCCAGAGCGGGAGCGGAAGGCCGTCGGAGGCTAGAGTTCTCGGTCGCTTTTTCCGGCTGTGAGATTCAACCTGATCCGATACAGGCCGACCCGTTAAGAGCTCGTCCCGGATGCGATCGTAATGAGCGATCATGTCTCCTGGTTGTCTGTGGCCTCTATATCTTAGGTAGGGATGTCCGGGTGGCTCCATGATTAGGGCTAGGAATGGTTACGAGCGGTACGCAGTCGGCTTGAAGTAGACTGGTCAGAATCAGTAACGAATGTCCTAAAGCTCGCGAATCGGATCTAAGGTTCTTCCTAAAAGGCTAGCTATGGCGGCTCTAAGTATGGAGACGGCGCTACTTATCAAAGACTCCCTATGTTAGCGAAAAATACGCTCTCGGTCTAAGATAGTTCGACGATTAGGGTCGAAGTAACGAAGTAAATCGAGGGCCAATTGGGCAAAAAAATAGGCTATTGGCAGTTGGTCAAATCGCGATCAGTTTGTTCCGGCTAGCATAAGATGGCGTCAAATTGAGCTAACGGCGTCCTTATCAGTCCCATCGCACAAGAGTTGGACCGATATTGGCTACAAATCGCAGAACGGTGCACTACTGGACAGAAATTGGGCCTTCGATTGGATAAAAACTAGTGATCAGGAACCGAGTAACCTTGACGTGCGTGCGCCTCGTAAAAGTGCGCTGCTGCTGCTTGATTTATCCTCCCTGCTATTCTAGGTCTGCTTCATACATCTACTGCGCTCCCATCGTTGCTGGTCCACATTCTAGAATGCTGCTAGGTATGCTTGGTGGGCGTGTCATACGGGGGGGGCTGGTCGATAAAACGGCAGGCAGGAGGAAAAAGTGTTTCTGGTGAAGTGTGCTAGGCTGCCCGCCCTTGATTCTAACGAGGGTTACATGCGCATGGGTTGCCGCTAGCGAAGGTTGGAGGTCACGCGTGTTTACAACTAGGGATTCGTGTGGCTACCACTCTTTTGCACATGAAATCGAGGGTGAGTGTGGGGCGCAGAAGTTCTGTAGCGGGCAGACGCTAAACATGTTATTTTGCTAAGTGAGGAAGACATCTGAAGCGCGAAGATTGACGGCGAGAAATGCTCAGGGGTGTCAATGGGGTGCTCTCAGCAGCACGTCGCTGGTTTCTGGGGACCCCTTGAGAAACCGTTGAATCTCGAAATCCAAACAGCCACGTCCTTCCGCATCCTGCGAGTGTATGGATGCTCGCATGGCGGGAAAGGTTTCATGACCCACCTTGGATCGCGGAAGGCCAAGTTTGGAGATGTCACGTGGCGCTAGGTGAAATGGCGAAGCTGTTCAACTAAACCAGCACAGCAAAGTTTCCCGCCAACTCGATACAAGGCCTTTTTGAGAAGCCCTAGTCCCACCAGTGAAGCGGACCTAAACTTGAGCAGCCTGGATACAATAATACATTCCTACAATGGAAACTGTAACATAACGCGAAGAGCTAATGCTAGTTATTCACCCAATTACGTTCAAGTGGTTGTAGGTTGCAACGGATTTGGCACTCTAGAGAAAGAAAAGATGAGGCAGGATAAAGATGGTGGGCAAGATCGGGGTGAGGATGCGTTAGAGGTGTCTTTTGTGCAACAAAGATTGGAGCCAACAAGTGCAGGGCATCATCTGGAATTGGAATCAACAAAATAGCATTGTTATGTTGGAAAACATGAACCGTCCAACCAACTTGATCATCTTCACCACCACTCTGAATTCATACATGTTACAAACGCAAGGTGGCTCTAGTGACCGTTTTCTGTCATATACCTTTTCACACCCCGTAATCTCCAATGACCGGAGCAGCTTAAGGCCTGAAATGCCATTTGGAAAGGTCTGCAGCTGCTTACAATTACTCAAAGACAGTCGCTTCAACCTGGTCAACTCAGAAAACATGGGAGGAAGGTGTTGGAAACAAGTGATTTATAGCGCCTCTGTCGTATCGAAGCTGCGACACAAAACGGAACTGACTACAGCGAAGAAGCACGCGAGTCAACTGTCGGAGGTTACGCGAAGGTCAAAGTTCGACCTTTGACCTGACGAAATGTACAGTGCGATAGCAAGGACACATAACTGACTCGTTACAGAGCAGTTACCCGAGTCGGCACTGTATCGAACCGCAACAGCAAAATAGTTAAAATAGAACTCTTTATATTCCTTGTAATCGTATAAAAGGCATGTATCCCTTTGCTATTGTCAACTTATCTTGTTCTCACACACTAGTACAAGGTGGTTCACGTCAACTCTTCATTAAACGCTTCCGCTGTTACAACTCTACGGCGTGAGAAACACCCTGCTTGACAAGATAATCCCTAAGAGCACTGATCTTTGTCCTGAAAGTTTCTAAGGGCTTTTCTCAGCCCAACAGAAGGGAGCGAATAGATGTATCCAAAACATCCAGCCAAGTTAGGCAGGCAAGCCGAGTGAGGGAAGCAGGAACATGTTTGAAAGCAGAGCACTAGATCAGGCTGAGCTTTTGAAGCCGGGATAATGCACCAACTGCATCAGAGAATGAAGTCAGTTTCGGAAGTTCAACGAGCTCCAAGCAAGTGAGGTGCTTCAACTGTGTGATACTTGCTGGCAAATGCTCCAATTCCTCCGAACTCTGTATCCGCAGACTTCGCAGCTGCTGCAGAACTGATCCAAAATCTTATGGAAGCTCCTTCAGCTTCACAAAACATCAAATGGTCAAACTATGCAGCTGCTTCAGAAAAGTCAAAGGGAAAGGCAGCGTCTTTGCATTCTTCGCCAACAGCAGCACCAAGTGCTTCAGTTGGGACAAGCTTTTACTGGTCGTCACTTTTCGCCCAGTAGTAACCATGCTCAAGCTTAAAGCAGTGAGATTTGACAGCTTGGAGACGTCTCGCATCTGAGTGACCTTACCGCAACCCCCCCAGTTCAAGACTTCCAGAGAGCAGGGAAGTGACTCCGGAGATTCTGTCAGCTCCGTGCATGCACGAATCTGCAGCCGTTTGAGCTTTGTAAGGCACCCCAGCCTCTTGGGGAATGCAACTGTCGCCCGCGTTCCTGCTTGTCGGATGACCTGCACAGTTGCCTACATCCCGCAGCCGTCAGTACAGCAGCCCCTACTGCCGCACGTACTTTCCATTGCCAGTGGCTCTACTAGCGACAGCAGACAGCCGCACTTACGGTCTCTAGCTCCAGCTGGCCCTAGCTCGTCGTTTCTAGCTCCAGCCGTTCTCGCTCCAGCCGTTCTCGCTCCAGCCGTTTCAGCTCCATCC